CCCATCTCCACTTACCCGGCATCACCTACACTCCCACTCTCTTCCCTTCCCTAACGCCCTCTACAGTACTTTGCCAGACCACTGATGTAGCTGCTTTCATCCAAATCTTCTCACAACTGAATCTCATCTCCGCCCTCTAATATATTCCTTATACTCAACATTCTACGGTTCATCCTCCCATGATATAGCAATCTGTTCTTCCCCCATGTGCCCTCACTATCACCCTCCCGATACTCACTCTCCTTGTGGATGACGTCCACACAGCGGAGCATCTCTCCCCAGAAGAACTTGCACATGTTGGCATCCACCTCGTTGAGACGAGTGTACGACTGCAGCAGCTTGGTGAGGTCCGTGTCACCCTTCTCCATCACAATGTATAACATCTGGTCCGTGACGCGGTGCTCACTGAGGGAGACAAGCAAAACGTCAGGTGTCAGGCGTCGGTCAGCGTCTCCATAAGATGACTACACTTGTTCAGCAAATGTGATGAGATCAACAGCCTGGTACTGAATTAGGCAGATGACAACGTTGCATGCTCCTATCAATGGTAGTGCTGTTTATGGTACCTAGTGTTGTCGATGGCAGAGTTGTACGCTTTTACTTGTCAATCGGGAACATCTGATGATTCACAGTTCTCATAGTCAAACCCACCCAGACGCAATTTCAGATCACCAAACACCACGCCCCCTGTAGCACAGTTCTCTGCGCTCCCCACGTCGCCGCCGGCACCACTCACAAGTCCATCAGCTGCACCACGCGGTCCGAGTGTCGGAGCGAGCGCAGCAGCTCGATCTCGTTCTTGTAGCCGTTGGCCGTGGCGTCGTCCGTGTTCTCCAGATACACCTGCTTGATGGCCAGCGAGCGCATGTCCGAGTCGAACACCTAGCGGAGAGGGGTGGTGATGCTAGTTATGGCAAATACGACAGGTGATTCGTGAGAAATATCCCGACCGTGAACAAACAACGCACAAAGAACGATAAACAAAGAACGATGAACGAGGAAAACAGTGATAAGACACACGAATGAAGAAATTTACCGAAATTCAGCTAAAAAGACCATCCTCCCGCCGCAAATCTAGATCAAGGCACCATGTGAAACACTTCCAGAAGTCAGAACGGACAAGTTCTGGTAGCCTAGGCCCTAGAGAGCTCGGAGTGCCTGGCTAATACCCAGCTGCCTGACTACCGGACACCAGCCTCTCCCACGTCTGAATCTGCGTCGATTTGACTCACCTGAAGCACCTTGCTGGAGCCACCACGTCCGATCTGCTTCATGACAATGTAGTCCCGATGGTTGACCGTCAGCGTGCGCAGCTGCCGCTTCCCAAAGAACAGCTCGGTGGGTGGCGGCGGCATGGACGTGCTGCCCGACTCCTCGGTCTGCGTGCCGTGCTCGACCAGTGACGGCGGCGGCGGAGCGGTCCTGGGCCGACCCGGGCCGTCCGCCACTGGCCCGGACGGTAACCGAGGAGCCGCGCTCAGCACAGACACAGAGGACCCAGATACAGAGCTGGATACGTGGACGCTGGAGGCTGAGACGACCGTGGTGGCCGCGGAGACGGCCGAGCCAGACGCCGACTGACCCAGTCTCGACTGAACGGCACTAGATACTGACGCGTGATAGGCGGCCTGCCGGGACTCGGAGACACGGTTGAAGGTTGAGGATGCCGACAGGTGGCTGGAGATGGGCACACGCTGAGCAGACGCCGTCGTCAGCTGGCCGACCACTCGTGGCCGGGGCGTGTGCTGCTGGCCTAGCCCGGCGGTCGGGTCCTGACGGTAGCCCAGACGGGCGTGTGATCGAGCGCCCGGCCCGTCGGCTGTGTCCCAATGTGAGACGGACGGCGCGGGAGCGGCTCCGGCGCCGGTCTGACCTGCCCGGTACGCCGTGGACTGGTACTCGCGCGCGGAGCCTGCCCCAGTCTGAGGCACACCGCCGAGCGTGTCCGCCGGCGCCGTCAGTCTGTCCGTGCCGAGCTCAGCCCGCCGGTAGGGCGTCGCCGAGCCACGGCGCGGTTCCATCGGCCCCGTCGGCTCGGCGGACGGTGCCGGCGACACGCGCGCTGTCGGTCCGCTCGCCGGCGCCGAGCCCGACTGGTTCAGAGGCGCCACGCGTTGCTCAGGCGGCGTGCTATCCGCCGACCGCTCCGAGATCACGGGCATGGAGCGCCGCACCGCGCTCACGTCCGTCAGCCGTCCCTCGGAGAGGCCGCGGCTGAGCCCGGGCGTCAGGCGCGTCGCCGACGCCGCAGACTGCAGCGACGAATGCGAGCGAGAGGCGTGCTGCAGCGGCGGTCGCTTCTCCGCAGACGGCTCACCGAACACAAACGGCCGCTTGACGGCGCCGGCGGCCGGGGGCGGCGGCGCCGAGTCCGGCTCGGCCACCTTGTACGGCGTGTCGATGCGGCTGAGCGGCTGGCGCGGCGTGCGTCCGCTGCCGGTCGCCGGCGTCGGCCCGGTGCGGCGCGGCAGTGGCGTCAGCAGGTCGTACGGGTGCACCAGGCCGCGACCGGACATGTTCTCCTTGTCCGGACAGGAGTCGGACGGCGGCGGCTCGCCGCTCGGGTTCCGCTCCAGGCGCCTGTTGGGAGAACGAAAGGCATGTGACGCACATAGACAGCAGACACGGGACACTCGATCTAATATCGTAATTATTGTACTTATCATCATAATTATCATAATATCATGATGTCTAAATATGGTAATTATTGATAAGGACAATATCAGATATTAATTAACAGCGTCATCCAGGCCCTTCCTTAGAACTGAAACGCAGGTCAATGGCAACAAGCAAGGTAAAGCTCGACACAAAATGCCTTATAAAACCTTTAACTCCAATGCACAAACTAAAATGTAAATGACATTCAACTGGGCGCTCTCCAGCTACTAAGAAGGACCGACCGCGCGCGCCGGGCGCCCACCTGCCGGCGGCCAGGATGGCCGAGACCGTGCCGATGGTGGCGGAGTTGGACGGCGTGGCCGTGTCCGCCTGGCCATCCTCGTCGCCGCTGTTGTTTTCATCGCGGATCGAGCTCGCCGGCACGCGCTGGGGCCGCAGCGTCAGACTGCCGTAACACGGCGACGGTCAACAGTCAAACAGGGAACAGATGTGAGGCGCCACTTACACTGTACATACACTTTTCTGCTACATTTAAACACACCCTGATCCTATGTAGCTCGCATAACATGTGAACATTTACTAAAAGCCAGGGAGTCACAAATCAGGGAAAAGACTGGTGTACAGCTTGAAAACAACCTTGAAGAAAGGTATGCTGAATGTTCCATTTAATATGCAGTTAGCAAACCAATCACACATCACACAAATAAACAGTCCTGGTTGCAGCTGGTTGCAGCTTATCACCAGGATAACAAGGGTACTGATCCAGAGTAAAATATAGCCACAAAGGTGAACAGCACTGGTCATGTAGCAAGTAGGCACTGTACAGAACAGGAACATACCATCTCCCGATGCTCTTGCGATATGTGAATGCTCCTTGTGACAATGGTCCAGTGTGAGAGAGGCCGGTATCTTCTGATTCAGACTCCATTAGTTGGCACTGGACACTGAAAATACAGCTGATCAATTTTAATTTTGCTACAAGTGCACAGCAATCTTTCACCTTCAAAATCAGCACTTTCTTGTAGGAAGATGGAACTTGTTGGAGCTACAAACATATTTCTGCATACATTTCCAACAGCCTTACAAAATTTGATTCTCAGCCAGTGCAGCTCTACAACAGTACACTGTGCTACAAATTGCTCTGGCAACAGTACTTGTAGCAAATTTGCTAGAAACAGGTTCCTGGTTTTGTCTTAGCAGTGCAGACCCTAAAGTGGTACAGACTACAGAGTCAGATTGCATTTGACACTGCACATCAATATAATGAGTAATAATACCGTCATCCTTTATCATCGTCATGTAACGTCATCCTTCTATTAGACTCTCCAACACATTAATATATAATATGGTGATACTTAAGTCATCAAAAAGCTTTTCACAATTCCCAATTGGTATGTATTCTAAGTGTGGCCATAAGTGCTACCATATATTATAATGGTAGCAAGCCAGTCATCAGTCAGTGGTGAGTCAGAGGGGCTGTATTATTTTCTGGGCGATTTGCCAGCTGGCGCCATATGGTGGCGCAAGCAGAGCTTGTTGCATATCAATGCCAGATACAAGTAACTAAAAATCTATCTTTTAACTTTTCTATGAGTACCATTTTACGCGTTCATGTTCATCTCCTACCGTGTTTATATCAATAAATACCTAACATAGCTATCTTACGTCGCCAGCTGGCCAGTCAGCTTAGCTTATTTTATCCAGTTGTTAGTAAGGCCCAGTCAGAGTGGTGTCATGTATAGCTCAGCGGCAGATCCTCTGTATCAAACCCACACTGAATATGTTATCAATATCTGCACACTGCATACCATGGTAAAATGATTATGCAAGCATGTGCAATGTAAGATGCAAAGCAATAAAAATATCATGATCGCATAAAACTTTTCCAAACAATTAGAGTCAGAACCATAAGAGCCAAGACTGGAGAAATTCATCACAAAAGCAAGCATTTTCAGAACAAATCACCAACAGAAATTGATATCCACAGTAGCCAAAATGTTTCCAAAGTTGGTAGCTAAATAAAGCAACCCCTGTCTAATTTTTCTTCAAAACTTTCGAACAAAGAAATGTCGAAATGAAAAATATAAAAATATAAACAACCTCCAAATCGTTCACAGCCAACAGTCGCGTGTCCGTGTTTTCATTTATGACGCCTGAAAATTCAAAATAGCCGCGTTTGTCTCAGTAAATAAATTGACAGGCTTTGTTTACGCTTATATCATTTTTATTATTATTTTAATAATTCAAAAAAATTCATTTAACATGTTTTGATACTCAAAAAAGCAAAAAAAGAAAAAAAATATTGAAAAAAATTTATAAACGATATTTTTCAAAAGTCTAGGAAGTGTTGTGAGGAGAAATGACGCAGCGTAGACGATTATGACGTGGAGCCCCTCCCCAGTGCCCTCCCCCCTCCCCTAAAATGTTTGCCCGTTGATAGTCGATAGAAAATTGAGGATATTGATTGATATTGTCTTTTAGCTTCGTTGTAAAAGGGTGACGGTTACATTAAGAGGTCCAAGAAAATCATTTGAAGCGCCGTGCAAGAAGGTGAATTAGAATGGTATGTACCTAGGAATCAGTGCGTCAGAGATTGAGATGGAGAAGCGAGCACCGTTATCTCATCTTGCATTTCAAATTGCTATTCCAATTTTCATTTTTATGCATATATTCAAGCTATCGGCTGTTGTGGTTGCTGTCAATTGAGATATAGCATTGATATATAATATATAACAAATATAAATGGTCTATATGTTAATGGCTATCATATGTCGCCAGCTGGCCAGCTTGAGCTAGCTGATTGCCTGATTGTATCTGCAGTTAATAACAAGGCCGCTGATTCCTCACTGAAATGAATTATTTATGTCTCATTAGCATGCAATATACATTATGCATCACTTATTATACGTAATAGTTTAAAGTCAACCAACATCCTCTTCAAAAGCATAAAGCTTAGGCATATTTTGGTGCATTTTTTATGCAGAAAATCAAAAAAGCCACCTAATAAAAAGCCATATCATACCACCTCTTTTTTAGTCTTAAAACATGGCATAGTACACATTCTTGTCATTTATGTAGTTTTTTGTCACTTCTACTTCAAGTTTCTGTATGTGATTTCAGATCATGAAGCTGCTAGTTATCCTTGGGCTGTTGGCTCTTGGCACTTTGGTTTCAAGTGATGGGAGTGCTGAAGAGCAGTTTAAGGTAGAAGAAGAGAATGTTGCAAGGATTTTGGCATCCAAACTGGTAAGTGGAACATTTGGACATATAAGTAATGTACACTTTTATATAGAATCAAGCAGAAGCTGTTGAAGCAGGAACTGGAATCCCAGTCTCTGGAGTTTTAAATTATACTTATTAGTTTTGAGTCCCATGAAAAAGATGAGAGCTAGTGCAATGTTTAGTGCAGCTGGGAATTGGGAATGTCAATCCCTTTACTTTCCCAGCATAGGTAGCATATGGTTTGTTAAAGCTTGGGCTACTCATGTCATGATAATGCCAGGTACACTGCATGGTGCATGCTGCATATTACCTTCTCAGATATCTATTTTTTTCATACAACACTCAATGTTTGCTTCCTGAATTTTGTTGTAAGACTCTTGTTTTGGTTTGACTTTAATATCTTTCTCCATTTAGCAATACTCAATAATTTGTGGGTATCTATTGTATCTCTACATGTTCTGCAGTCAGCTGAGCATTCCAACATGGAACCATAGCAGTAGGTCAGGGTATATTGCAGTAGGTACCGATCTGTTTTCAACGTGTCCTTACAGTGAGTGTCGCTCCCACCGTGACATGATCATCTCGCTGCCAACAGATTCAGAACAAGTACCTGGTCGAGGGTCTGGACGTGGTGGTGCGCTACTCGCTCTACAACGTGGGCACGGCGGCCGCGCTGCAGGTGCGCGTGCAGGACGCCGGCTTCGGGCCGTTCGACTTCAAGCCGGTGTCGGGCCTGGTGAACTTCCAGCTGGACCGGCTGGCGCCCGGCGCCAACGCCTCGCACACGGTGGTGTTGCGGCCGCTCAAGTACGGCTACTTCAACTTCACGGCCGCCCAGGTCTCCTACCTGGCCAGCGAGACGGCCACAGAGGTGGGCTATAGACGACGGGGCGGTGGGAGCTGGGGTGTGTGTCGGTCTTTTACGGCAGGGGAGGGGTCACTGCGTGCCGATTTTGGATTATGATGAGTAGGTTTGTACTGATAATATGATAATAAATAATTAGCACCGATACAGAGTTACGGGAAGCAGGATGCACAATATTCAGCGGCTGGCAGGCTGGTACTTAGTTTTACATGCAAGATGGGTATTTGTTTGGTCATGTAGTTATTCGTGTGTCGATTTTTATCGACAATGCCTGAGCATCGATCGTTATGATGCTAAACGGGTTATTCCTCTTTTTAATAGCCACTTATTATAGGTACATAACTGGCTCCAAAAATGCAGTTTTCCTTTGAAGCCAGACGTGCTTTTGCGTTTCGCGATGTATAGGTATTCTCTGGATGAAGTCGTGGTGGTTTCCAGCAATCTCCAACCAACTTCCGTTTATTTTTGGTGTTGCCGGACGCCGGTGTTACTGCCCTCGCTCGCAAACTCCGCTCCTGATGGCACCCCTTCCTCTCCCTCTGTGTTGCTGCTCGTTTGTGCAGGCCGCCGCCTTGCCGTTTCTGACAAAACACCGCTCTTGCCCGCAGGAGACGGTCGGTTTCACCAGCGAGCCTGGCGAGGGCGGCATCGTGGCGTTCCGCGACTACGACAAAAAGTTTTCACCGCACCTGGTGAGTGGGAAGTGTTCTCCCCCTGGGTAGTAGATAGTATCCCAACCCTACGATGAATCAGTAACGGGCCTTGAGCGTGATTCTTAAAACCTTTTGGTGGTTTCATGCGGCCGCACCCAGAGCAGAATCCAGGGGCCCGGGAACGATTTTCAAGTTGGGGGGGCGAGCCTAAAATACCTGCCATGATGCATATGAAACAGTGGCGTAGTTAGGGGTCTAAGGGGACACGTACCCCCCCCCCATCGGGATAAAAGGGACCCTCGGGTCCGAGGGGCCCTGCGGCGCCATTTGACCGCTGAGGGTTAACGATGGCCATATTTCTACTCAGCAGGGCCCCATGGGGCTCGTTAGAGCACCTCATGGGCCCTAAATAGCCACACTAAGATCTCCATAAGGGCCCCACGCCGGCTTCTGAGGGCCTCTTGCGGTTTTTAAAGGGACCATCCCACCTTAACATTAGTTTTGAGTTGAGATAGCCAAGTTTGCGGCCAGGCTCAGAAATCACCATTTATCCTGGTCGCAACCCCCGCAGCTTTATGGTGTTCAAGAAATTTCTTCCCTTTACTTGCAGGGTGGGACCAGCTTAGTCCCTATCTCTTAACCATTAGCGGTTTCTTTGATGACGTCAGCAGTCATTTCAACGCCCGCCATTCCTTGAACCCGAATTTTACTGACCTTGAGCTCCCAACGTGTCCGTCGTCGGCGCTGAGAAAGCCTATTGATTTTCATTTTAATTTGAATATTAGAAGATACCCACCACTGGGGACGCCGGTGAAAACAGGGCGCCGCAGGGCATTTTAGTCACGTGATATTTGGAGCTGCTCCCCCTCCGTGGGCTTTCTACATCCCAAACATCACGTGTAAATTTCACGAACCTTGATCAAATCGCCCCAGGCGCCCTGTTTTCACCGTTGTCCACCACTGGAACTTGGACTGATATTATACCAAGGCCGAAGATGATCAAGCTGCCTGCTATATCTGGAGCTTGGTGTTCAACTTCAACATGGAATAAAAAACAAAATATCAAAGCAAACTGGATATGGTAGTGCAAGTTAAAGTCCAAAGAAATTTGAAGAGCTGACAATTGACATTAATTCTTTTCCTGCAAGGTTTCCATATGGAGATCACACCATGAAGAAATATTTTTGATGTGAAAGGGGATTGATCTTCTGGTTTTGACGAAAGACGCTGCTGTCTTTGGAAAAGAATGTCGGCATGAGGTGCAATTGTGCTTGTGAAGTGGTTATAACTGGTCTTTTCACAGTATTAAATTAAATGTGCCATTGCAGCCAAGTGTGTTATCATGTAAGGTAAAATCAAAACTACAATGTTGGTTTTATGAGCATTGAGAAGGCTGGTAGGTAACACCTGCCCGTGCTCGTAAATCATGCTGCCAAAGTATTCTAAATTAATTTAATCATACGCTTTTGTTGTCCAGAATGGTTGCACTATTGTTTGGTATCATATTATTCCATGTAAATATGGTAGTGTAAAGTCCGACCAACATGTTACCAGATTTGAAGCTGTTAGTTACCTAAGTACCTGTTTTTTACTGGCGTGGTGAATGTCACCTGGATTTTGTTTTGAGGTGCAGACCTAGTAACTCTGACTACATGGGTTTGAAGCTATTACCTATTCTGTTTTTACTGGCCTGGTGAATGGCGACTGATGTCTGTGGATCGCACTGAAACAAATTTTGAGTGTCATGTACAGTGTTTTAATACAATGCTGAGGGCTGAAAGTTGTCTTGTTTAGAGTGGTGAAAGTTCAGGATATGCCAGCCACCATGGTGGGTCAGAGTTAATGTGTTGCAGTCAGTTCGGCTTCAGCAAGCACACGGATGGGCATACGCATCAAGACCTGCTCTGCCATACTTTCAGCCAATTTTACCTAGGTAAGTCTTTTCTTTTTTTTCTGCCAAAAGCTATGACATTGTGAATTTCAGTGCTGTGGCCTGTGTGTAGCTTTCAGGAAAGCAATTCTAAATAAAGCTCTGATAAAGTGCAAAATCAGCAATGCAGCCCTCTATTACATTTTCTACAACATCTTACTTGTTCCTTGCATGGAGAGACAAATGCAATGCTATGAATTCGTTTATTCACATAATTTGACAAGTGACATGCAGTTACCTGCTACTATCACTGCACAAAACAGAGCAGAAAACATCAGTTGATCCAACACAAGACACAACAGAAGTTTACAACATAGGGCTGCCGAACCTGCTTCCTCCCACCACAGTTGATGCCATTTCCTAGCCTGCCTTGATGTGAGCACTGAATAGCTGCTTCGTCTAATTACAGCTCACTACCATTCAACTTAAAGGAAATAGTTCACTTTCCTGAAATTAGTATTTTGCTATGGATTTATGTTTTTTTATGCTCAAAATGATCAGAAAATAAAACAAAACGTTTTGGTAAAAAGGATTATTTTCTATATTTTAGTATAAGAAGAACTATATTCTATATAAAATAATGTTTGACGCGGAAGCTTATTACGCGTTGACCAATCATATTGCGTAGGGGCATTCCACGTCAAATCAAACACCGAAATCCGTCATCCCCTTCGATTTTTCTGAAAATTTGTAGGCAGACTGGGCATGGTTCAAAACTGAGTTACGTATAATATTTTCGAAATTTGATAACGTATCGCTGAGATATAGGTCATCGAATATAGCGAAAAATGCCACACATCAATTTTTTAAATGGCTATAACTCTGGTTCCTTTTCTGGTATCAAAATGATATTAACAGGGTCTTATAGGCAATTGATAAGGCTTTGATTTTTAATTATAAAATTAAATTGAAGTGACCTTGAAATGCATTTGACCTTGAATTAAAACAGAAAAATTTAAATAGCAAAAAACACGTCACCTTCGATTTGGCTAATTTTTACATATTATGTCCGTCACAATGTTCCTAACCATCTGTGAAAAAATTGGAGTGGGCCATTCATAACTTTCGCGGCAAACGCCGTTTTCATGCATCAACATCACGCAACCGCGCGTGACCTTGAAAGACAGAGTCAAGACATGCTTGCTTGTGTACACTTTCTGAAATGAATGATTGCTGATTAGTGATATCCCAAACTCTGCGAGAATGGAAATGCATAGTCATCGTAGTCAAGCATTCACGTTCCATAGTAAAAGTGTCTCAGGCAAACGGTATTTTGCGGTGAATTTTGAGCCGTGTGGAAATGCATCATGAAGTAAATTCAACGAAAACATTATCACGCAACGATATCTTCACGTCTTTTGATCTTCACTATCCGAAAGAACATACATTTTTTAGTATGTATGAGGAATTTCTAGTTAATCCAATAATAAATATGGCAGTTAGAGGCCTGCTAAGAGTAACATGTCGCCGGCTGAGGCGGGCTCGGCCGATGCGGGAAACGCAGCAATCACAATTTTGTGTTTACACGTTCATGTTTCAATTGTTTACCAACCGATTTTCAAAATTCTTTCACCATAAGATTGCCTGTTCTTAGTCTTCTCACAAAATTTGACGCGAATCGAACGTAATCAGCGGTAGGGAGCGGCGCGATGTAAAGACGGAACCGTTCCGTTCCGTCCCGGCACAGTCTACAATTCAGGCGGCGCGTAGCGGTCGGCGCCGGCTGCGGAGTCGCCGCGTCGCTGCGGCGACAGGATGTTCACTTTACACCGCTATTACTAGAACAGTTGTGAACCGATTTTCTTATTGCTTGCACGATGAGATGTCCAATTCAATTCTTGACAGGTAGCCATAATTAATTTCGCATTAATCTTATGAGATATTGGCGAAAAACAGGAGGGGTGGGCGAAATTCGCTCTTCCCCCTCCACTGCGCGTGCTAACATACGTTTGCATATGTGCAATTTTCTTCAAAACTTATGAATGGCCCACTCCAATTTTTTCACAGGTTGTTAAGAATATGGTAGGCAATAAAATATATGAAAATGAGCCAAATCGAAGGTGACGTGTTTTTTGCTATTTCAATATTTGTGCTTAAGAACAGAGTTAAGCAAATTTCAAGGTCATATATTTAAGTAGGTGCAATTCTAAACAAATGCTTAAGAAATTACCTAAACAGTAAGGTTTATTTCATTCAAATCAAACAAGTACCACCAAAGTTATGGTCGTTCAAAAATATAAAGATGCAACATTTTGTAAAAATTGGATGCCCTATATTTAGAAGACCTGTGGTCAGAATGTGCAAAAAAACATCAATGTAATGTCCGGGGCCACACAGGAACTCGCTCACAAATTTATAATGAAATCGCTGATGGTAAGGTGCAAAACAGCCGATTTTTGTTCGATTTGACGTGGAATGCCCCGTAGGACAAACCCATCGGCTGTAAGCAGCATTCTGATTGGCTGACGATGACGTGACTGCATTCCTCAGCAAGGCACGCATTCCTCTGCAAGGCACTCTTTTTGGAACAAAAAATGGAATATCCTCGTCTAGGGTGATCGTTGGGCCGTAAAAGCTTCTGATTTGTGCTAGTCTCAGCGCAAGCAACAAAACTGCTATTCCAGTTCCAAACCCCATGTTAAAAGTGAACTATTTCCTTTAAACTACTCTCTTTAAAGTAAGAGTGAGAGCGTTCAGTGTTCATAGCAGCTCGACAGACGACAGACAACAAACATCTTGACAAACCAACCAGTATTTGATTTGGCTAATGATTTACATGCTTGTTGTATCATGGCCAAACTACTTTAACAGCAATAATCCTTGTTTCATCTTGATCTTGCTTTTATTTCCATTTGAACTCAGATCTTGAAACAATCATCTGAAGTGATATCAGATACTGGCTTCTGTTTCTCTTGAAAGCAAGTTAAAACAACAATGATAAACTAAGGCAGGAGATGTGAGTTGTGGCAGTAGATCTTTGATTCAACAATGTCAACCTTATATTGCTTGAGACCTCTGTGACAAACAAATATTTATAGTTTTTTGATAGTTTGGATTCTTGGCTTGATTTAGCAGATCAGCTGTGAACCTTGACTTTGAAATCACATAA